TACAGTCAAACAGTCTAATACATAAACATTCACAAAATATGGGATCCTATATAATTCATGTTCTAGTCATGGGTATGTTATGTAGTGTGATTGAACATTGGCTAATGAATGATGATGTCAATAGAATTAATGATTTAAAAAGTGGAAGGCCACTGAAGAGGGCCTTGAGCTGAAACGTTTGACATCGGTGATGAATGTAAAGTAAACGTTAAAAAGAAGGGTTTTTTTGTGTGTGGATGATGGTCTCATATGCTAAAAACGTACACCCAAGTACATTACAGTAATGAGAATTTGAGAGCAAAATGTGTTTAATTGTCATGAAAATATTTCAAATGAAAACAAAATGCAAGAAAATCATTAAATAGTCCTCTTTTTATGTGTATCGTTAGTGATTTCTTGAGGTTTTGAGGTGAACTGTGAGCAATCTCTCGTCTGTACGCTGTTGTTTGGATGCGCAGCTTCATTTAGCGCTGAACTCCAGAGGAGCCATTAAACACACACACACACACTGACCTCCAGAAGAGAGAAATCCATTAAATACAACGTCCTAATTGCAGTTATAATGACTCTCTCACAAACACACTAATTGTTATTTACACACACACACACACACACATACACACTCACGACTGAACTGTGACCCGTTTCCTCCTCGAGCGACTTCTCTAAACGACTCGAGCTGCTAATGAAGCTCAAACCTGAAAGACAGAGACAGGAGATGCTTTTAGAGTTTCTGACGTCTGTCTGTGTGTGTTTGACGCTGATGTAATTACACATCAAACACACTCACACACACACACACACACACACACACGTGTGTGCGTTTTTGTGACAAATGAGGACATAAATGTGTATAATGACAAAGGTATGACAGGTATTACAAGGAGAAGGTGACTTTTCAGGACATTACCCCATGTCCCCACTTTTCAAAACGCTTATAAATCACACAGAATGGAGTGTATTGAAAATCTGAAATAGCAGAAAGTCTCCTGTGAGGGGTAGGTTTAGGGGTAGGGTTGGTGTAGGGCAATAGAATATACGGTCTGTACAGTATAAAAACCATTACGCCTATGGAGAGTCCCCACTTTTCACAAAAACAAACCTGTGTGTGTGTGTGTGAGAGAGAGAGAGAGAGTGTGTGTGTGTGTGTGTGTGTGTGTGTGTGTGTGTGTGTGTGTGTGAGAGAGAGAGAGAGAGTGTGTGTGTGTGTGTGTGTGTGTGTGTGTGTGTGTGTGTGTGTGTGTGTGTGTGTGAGAGAGTGTGTGTGTGTGTGTGTGTGTGTGTGTGTGTGTGTGTGTGTGTATTTGTATTATCAGTACTAGCAGCAGCTCTTTACTCCTGTAACTAGATAATGATTTAGGAGCAAAAGTTATATTTTATAAAATATTATAAAATAAAGTAAAATTTGTATTCATATTTTCTATCTATAAAATGTTATTTAATATATTTATATATCATATTAAATAATTCGGTAATCATAATAATTTAATTATATAAATATTTTCACTAACATGTGTGTGTGTGTGTATATATACATACAGTATATATATATATATATACATGTATAAATGTAAATGTATTCATATTTTCTATCTATAAAATGCTATTTAATTATATAAAAATGTCACTTGTATACAAATCTAGAAACTAATGTAATATATGTAAATGTATTGATGTTACTTAATATTTTAGTGTATATGTTTATATATTTATATATATTATATATATTTATATATTGTATTAAATAATGAAATAGTCATAATAATATAATTATAATATTAAATTTACACATACACACATATATATTTATATATATATATTTACAAAACCTGTAATATTCCTTTAGTGTGTGTGCATTTATTGATGTAAGATTGAATGTTTGTATTTTCAGTCTGAGTTGTGGCTGTTTTCTACTGTAACTAGATAATGACTCTGGAGGAGCTGGTAAAAAGAGAAAGTGTTGTTTGCATCAGTTTTTCGACTGGTTTTTCCTCTTTTCGTCTCGTTGCTTGCTTGAATCCAGCAGCGTTTGTGAGCTGCATCGTGAGAGATGTGAAGAGCTGCAGAAGCAGAAGCAGTTTCTACATGCATTCATTGAGTAATTTCAGCTGCGTTAGACTATAATGGGCAAATTATATATCAATAATGGTTCAGTTCCGCTAATTAGTGCATTTAGCACATCTGTGACGCTCAGCCAGTGATTTTCAGTGTTGTACAGCAGTCACTCAGCAAATCATCTCTGATGTCTCTGTCTGATCGTATGAGCAATGCTGCTATCACCAAAACCTTATTATGCCATATGAGTCATTTTATATCACTATCTATTTATATGTATATGTATATGTATGTGTATGTGTGTGTGTGTGTGTGTGTATATATATATGTATATGTATAAATGGTTTATATTTTAATACCCATGCGCTAATGCCTCTCTGTCTATATATATATATATATATGTGTGTGTATATGTGTATATGTATATATGTATATGTATATATGTGGGTGTGTATGTGTATATATATATGTGTATGTGTGTGTGTGTGTGTGTATATATAATTTGTTTTAATTTTTATTATAATTAAATTATAGATAGATAATTACATCACAATTGTGATGTAATGTTTTTATTTTATAAAAATTTATATACACATTTTTATAATATTTTCACAAATAAAATATGTATTAAAAAAAATATATATATTAATATATAATAATATCATAAAAATATAAAAACAAAATTACATTTAAGCTAATAAAATTATATTAATATTACTATATCAATGTTATATCATATTAATTTTATATTTTCATTAAAAACATAAAAATACAAAAAATATAAAAACAAAATTCTATATAAACTTATAAAATTATATTAATATTACTATATTAACTCTTTCCCCGCCAACATTTTTGAAAAAGGTTGCCAGCCACCGCCAGCGATTTAGCTGATTTTCACTCAAATCTGATGGCCTCCAGTATATCTTGCTGTATGAATATTTGAATATGCAATACACCAAAATAAAGAACAGAGCCTCTACTTTTAAACAAAAAAATCAATTTTATTAAAGCTTAAAGTTTTCTTTTTTTATCAACACTTGAGTGTAGATAGGTTTCATAAAAGATGCATAATTTTGAGAAAAAAGGTGAGAATCAAAAACTACATCTGGGTAATATTCAGTACGATTATCAAAGCATAAATCCAGTAAATGGCTTCCATCAACACCTCCAAAGCTTGCACAGACATATACCACTTACTAGATCAACTTTTAACTCCGTAACATTATGCTGTTTTCATGTATATGCTGCCATTGCTGATGATCGCATTATTTTTCATATGCATCTGTTTACATAAGAGATCGCTGGTTTCTCCGTCCTGTACATGTGTGTTTTTGTTCGGGAGGTTTTGTACTCGTTCAGAAGATGCGTAATAGTGCCCCGAGTGTATAACAGTAAAAACTCGTCTTTGGCGGAGAAGCGTTTTCTTCTAAAAGACGAGATAACTCGTCAGTGGCGGGGAAATTGTTAATATTATATCATATTAATTTTATATTTTCATTAAAAACATAAGAATACAACAGTCTTGTTTCTGTCTGGCAGTGTATCTGCTCCAGAAATATAGCAGACTAGTGACTCCTAGCCCGTCTGTGTCTCCGCAGGCCCACGTTCAGGTATTTCACGTGGCACACGTGTGTTCTGGGGATCATGGGCTGCGCCGTGATGATGTTCCTGATCAACGCTATCTACGCTTCGGCCAGCATCGCCTTCATGCTGCTGCTGCTGCTGCTGATCCACTACCTGAGTCCCGTCAGCAGCTGGGGCTTCATCAGCCAGGCGCTCATCTTCCACCAGGTACAGCACTCTACACTTCATTCATGACCCTGCACCACAAAACCAGTCGTAAGATTTACACATCATCTGAAAGCTGAATAAATAAGTTTTCCATTGATGTATGGTTTGTTAGGATATATATAATATATAAATTGACATTTTAAAACAATCCCCAAATCAAATAAATAAGTAACACAAATAAAATAAATCTCTTCATATAAACTCTGTCTGTGCTCTTTCCATTTAAAACGAGAGGCAACCACTGCATTTTAATCGAGGTCCAAACAAAGATGCTGCATACATGCAACACCAGCAGTTTTTAAACTAAATTAAGATTGTATCTGTAACGTAGTTTGTAAGTCGGGAAGGAGAGAAAATGAGACGGAAGGATGAGGAGAGACAGAGACGAGAGAGGGGAGAGAGGAAAAAAAATAATAAATTCTGGTTCCGGTTCCCAGACACACTACCGGCTCTCACTCGCGGTGCCATGCGATGGTACTGGACATCGTTGGTGGACGGCCCACCGCTCCTTAGTTTTTTAATTAATATTTTGAGTTGGCTTAATTTTTATATTTTAATTTTTCTTTTTAATTTTAGTTAACATTTTTTTTTATTTTATGTACTCTTGTGTACTTTTTATTAGTTTTTTTAATAAATATTTTGGATCCGCTTTTATTTTTTTACTTTCAGTTTTCATTTTATTTTTTTTTATTTAAGTTATTTATTTTTAATTTTAGTATAATTTATGTACTATTTTATATTTTTATTTTATTTGTTTATTTTTTAATTTGGCTTTTAATTTTATATTTCCATTTTAATTTTAGCTTAATTTTTAGTGATGCAGTTTTGATATTTCTAAGTATAAGTATATTAGCATAATACTTATATGCTATTATAGGTTTATAATTTCATTTTTATTTTAGTTTAATTTCATTCATTCATTAATTTTTATTACTATTTAGGTTTAATTTATTTTTATTTCAGTTTTAGTTTTTTTTTTTTTTTTCTAGCAAGTAAATTAGTAATCCTGTAACCAGCCAAGACATTCTGAAGTTCTTCGACAGACTCTTGTGTGTGTGTGTGTGTGTGTGT